CCAATGGTACAAACATTGTATCCTGAAGGAGGTGCTGTGTATCAGGATGACAATGCACCAATACACACAGCAAGACTGGTGAAAGATTGGTTTGATGAACATGAAAGTGAAGTTGAACATCTCTTATGGCCTACACAGTCACCAGATCTAAATATTATTGAGCCACTTTGAGGTGTTTTGGAAGAGCAAGTCAGGAAACATTTTCCTCCACCAGCATCACATTGTGACCTGGCCACTATCCTGCAAGAAGAATGGCTTAAAATCCCTCTGACCACTGTGCAGGACTTGTATATGTCATCCCCAAGACGAATTGACGCTGTATTGGCTGCAAAAGGAGGCCCTACACCATACTAATAAATTATTGGGGTCTAAAACCAGGTGTTTCACTTTCATTGTGCAACCCCTGTATGTGTTTAAGGTTTAAAGGTTAATGCATTTCCTGAGAAAATAAACGCCTTAAAATCTTTATTTTATCACTCATCTCTACCCGATCTGCACTGAAAATGGGATCCTACGCTACTTCCTGGAACTAACTTTTTTGGCTTTGGATTTAAACATAAATCTAGTCTTTTTGAGTTTTATGTTTTCCTTTTGTGCTAACATTATGGTATATAGTGTTTGGTCTAAAGAAAGAAACAACTAAAATGCGGATAAACATGGTTTAATTATATTTCGCCGGACTTCTCTAAGCATGTCCAATGATGACGTCAGAGAAGCAGTTTAACAGAGAAAATGTAAAATGCATCAACAATGTATCAGAAAAATCTAACTTTTTTTAAAAGTTTATTAACAATCTTTAGTGAGTTAAGTATAGAAGGAAGGGATTTTAGTACCGTTATTACATTATTTATGGAAACCTGGATATAGATATGTTTCCGCGCATGCACAGGACGGATTGTGCTTCCGGGATGGATCGGGTAGTGACAAGTGCAGCCATCCTGTTTGCTGCTTCCTTCTTCTAAAAAAAACCTGACTAAATCGCAAATAAAACAGCATGCTTGGATGTAAGGAGAACGTAGAGAGAGGAAACTCAATGTAACGTGTATTACTAAGGATATGCGGGCTTGACGCGGCATGCTGAGCTTACAGAACACCGAGCCGGAGCGGAGCAAATAGTCATCCCACATGGAGTACTTTCTTGTGATTGGCTTATACAAGGAAGTCTGCTGCCACACAGAAGGAATGAGTGTTGCAGGTTGCTTAAAGATCCATGCATGTGAGTGTGAGATATTTCCCACATAACAGTAAAAACTCTGGAGGAAAAGAATTAAAGGATTAAAACTGTAAAAAGACAATACAAATAAAATAAAATATTGTAACTGTTGACAAAATCATGCAAATCTTTGTAAAACAACATGGTTCTGCTCGGAGCTCTATAGTTCAGCCTTTCCAACAGAACAAACATTCAGTTTAAAGGGGTCACAGGAAGTTGAACTTTTAAGACTCAGTTATCATTTTGAACCATTTAAATGATAGTTCCACTTTAAAGTTAAGCTATGCAACAATGGAAAAAAATTGGGATATTGATCTGTTTGTTTCGGCGTAACCAAAAGTAAAGGAGGAAATTGTCACAGTAACCAGGGACTCAGGATGATGCAGGTTTAGATAAACATCTTCCACCTTAACCAGAACTCATTCATTATTCAGACTCCCTCTGCTCCAAACATCAGACCTCAATCTCTGCAGCAGAAGACCTTCCTCTGAAAGGTCTCCTTCACCTGTGAAGGAAACTTTGAAGCTGAAGATGGAGAAACAGGGCTTACATCCCCAGAATGGGTCAGAAACCCATTCTAACTTATGAAAATCTGAATGAATCCAAAGAAGCGTCAATTTATTTGAGGACGGAACTCATTTATTGATATAAAAATGCTTTTAGATTCACTCCTCATGACTGTGATCGAATCATCATATATCTCAGCTCCATCATTATGATCAGAACCTTTTAATACACTTCAAGTTTAAACTGATTAAACTCATTAAAACAAAGAAAAATGAAGCTGATTGCCAGGAAAAGAGAAGAAGTCCAGATGGAATCAGAATACCTGTAAGATCAGAGAGGAGAACCACCAGGTCCCAGGAAAACCAGCTATCAGCTCAATGCAGTAAAACAACTTCAACCAGCAACCAGGAAATAGAAGCAACCCAGCAGCCTCGCCCACCCGGTTCAGACGCCCAAACCGAAACCAAGCGCACCCAGATCAGAACAGCAGAGACAGAAGAAAAGCCGCAGAGGAAAGGACTAGAGAGGCTCGACAAGATCAACAAAAACGATCAAAAGATTTGTGTCGGAGAGCCGAACGAGTTCTATGGACAGGAAGAAGGAACTGCTGGATCATATGAGTCCTGAAAGACACAAACACACGGAACAATGTTGACACCTGTCCTGCAGACGGAAAAACACATCAGCACAAGCTACACTCTGACATGTTGCAGAACTCTTTCCTTAAAATATAATAAAATAAAAATAAAAATGAAAAAACTTGAAACAAATGACCATAAATAAAAAAGATCATAAAAAAACACTCCTACAGATGATCTAATATAACCAGAGGAATTATTCAGATAATTTGTAATTAATCCAGAAGGTTGTGAGGAAGCTAAAACTGCAGTGTAGATTTGACCCATTTCCACAACCGCAGTGAAGGGGTTAGTTAAGAACGTCTGATGATGTTCTTCCACCATAATTGCCCCATCATCCCTCACTGGTTCTCCTGCCATTGGCTCCAACTCACCACCGGGTGGCGATCAGCTGAAAACTCTGCTTATACTGTAGGGCAAAATGTGCTTCAATAAAAACATGAGTAGGCATCCGCACTGGAAAAAATCTAAATCTAGATAAGTCTTTTTTTTTTTATAAGTGAATTTGTTCTTGAATTGAGAAGGTAAAATAAACATTTTGACAATGGAACAAGAAAATTTACATTTAAAATAAGAAAACAAGTGCATTGTCTAATTTCAAGTAAATATCTTATTCTAAGAGTAAAAATAGTCATTCCATTGGCAAATCATCTCATTTACCTACACTGAATTTAAGACATTTGTACTTATTTCTAGACCGTTTTTCGAGTGTGAGTTTGCAAACCTATGGCAATAAATATGAATTTTAGATTTCTGTTGGTGATTTGGTAGAAACAAGTTTAGAAGTTATAAATAAAAGTTACGCAGTTTCCATTTTTGTATGATTTTACGATCCCTGGTGAAGCTGTAACGCTCTTTACTGGTTGATGGCAGAAAGTTCTACTGAAACCTTCATAGACTGAGAAGAACAGGAAAAAGATGGAAACAGAACCATTCATTGAATATTTCAATTGAAAATGATTTCAGCAAAGAAATATTCCATTGGTGGTTTTGTTTTCATCTTCTAGTCTAATTGTTGCTTATGAACAACTTCCAGGCACAATAACGCCACCAACTGTTAAGAAGTAACAGCTTCTATTACTTGTAAATTTGTGATTTATATATGTAAATACATGATTTGTAAAGAAATAGATCTTAATATTAATCCCTACTTTTACACATCCAGGCACCTGAGCACATGTTTTTATTGATGGTTATTTTGCCCCATATCTGCTCATCTCATCATCCCCTGAGATCATAAACTAGTTCCTGGAGCCTTGACCCAAACTAGCTGGGTCCCAATCACACCTATGGACCACCTGGGGTTCAAAGTAGGTGATCAATACAGATGCCTTATAGAGAGGTTTAATATCAAAACAAAGCTCAGATCAGAGCAAATCAAACTTTATTAATGAAGAATCTTCCAACTACGGATTGAGTTGACCAAAGTGCTTCACAGCATAAATACCGAACGCATTGAAAAAGACAGCATAAATTAAAAGGAGAGAAATAAAACCACTTAAAAAAAAATCTTTGTTATGAAACTCAGAAGCGTTTTAGACAAATGGGAGTTGAGTTTGACTTTAAACAGAGGAAGGAGCTTAGTTATGGAGTAAAACTCAAGTCTGTTCCACCTTGTTGGACAAGTCACTGAAAACACTGTTTATACCTGGAGGACCTGTGAGCTAGTGAACCAGGATGGTACCGGCAGCGGCAATTTCATGTGCAGGGATAAAAGAACATGTTCATGTTTACAGGAGGTCTGAGTTTTATAAAAGCTGTAAAGACGACTGAGAAAATCAGATTGATAACAACCAAAAGAGCCTAACAATAAATAAGTCTACTTCCAACAAAAACATAGATTCCTTCAGGATCTCCAGAGAATCTCCAGATTGGACCCCGACCTCTAAAGCCTGGGTAATGACCGATGAGTCGGCGAGATCTGCGTGTCCACATGACAGAATTTCGGCACCTCACCAGCCATCAGAGGGCCTATGTGAAGGGGAGCCATAGATCAGGGCCTCCAGCAGTCTGGCCCCCCTAGACCAGGCATCCCCTCCCTCGGTCCTTGAGGCCCACTGTCCTGCAGGTTTTAGAAGTTTTGTTGCTCCAGCACAGCTTATTTTAATTGAAAGCTGATTAACAGGCTTTTGGTCTACTGCAATCATCATAATCAGCTGTGCTAGAGCAGGGAAAACTCTAAAACCTGCAGGACAGCGGCCCTTGAGGGCCGAGGTTGGGGATGCCTGCCCTAGAGCACAGAGGTCCGGTGTCTAATCGTTAGGTGTCTTTTCTATGGCAAGTATCAGAAGCAGATTTATTGCCAAGTAGGTTTGCACACAAAGAATTTGACTTGATGTTGATGGTGCAGACAAATTATATATATACACAATATAGAACATACAATATACTATATATAGTATATAGCTATATACTATATACACAACAGACTGTGCGGTAATGTAAATAAACAGATATCATTCAGGGTAATTTCAGATCACACGTGGCAAATCATCAGGTTAAAGAGATCTACAGAACCGAAACCAACTGTGTGGAACCAGAACGTCATGTCTGATCCGACTTTACAGGTTGGGTCAGAACTGATGTGGTACTGAGAGTCTGGCCTCAGTAGAACAGACCCATGATCCAGGTGTGTTTCTCACCTTTGACCTTCTGCAGGCGAGCGGACAGCTCCTGCTCTGATTGGTTGGGAGGCCTGTAGGGTGGGGGCTGTCTGAGGGGGGGCAGCGTAGCTTCAGGTATCTGTGGGGGGTAGATAGAGGGTCAGAGGGTCCAGTTGTACCCCATAGAAGAAAGAAGAAACAGAATAAACTAAAAGCCAATCAGCTCTCTCCTTTTCCTCCGTCTTCTCAGTTTCAGACACGTTTAGGCTCACTAAAAGTTCCCCCTAATCTCTCCTGACATTTATTCCCTTCAGGAGCTCTCTGAAGCGCCAGGAGCTTCATTGAGAACTTTTATCTTAAGGTTTTTCCTAAAATGACATCACCAAGAACAACTTTTAGTCCGAGGATTTTTTGAGAGGACAGGCCTCTGATATCTGAGCTGCCGCTAAACCCAGAATTGACTGTGATCTGAGGCATTGCTGCCCCCTGCTGGCCTCTGGCTGCAGGTGTCTATGAGGCTGTGGTTCGTACCAGAGGCTCTCTCCGCTTGACTTTGTGTTTGCTGTTGCTGGATGCTGTTAATGACACCGGCTGGAACACAGAAACACACACAGATCAGATAATCATCACTGCCATGGAACCTTCCCTGATTTATTGTAAACAGAATCCTGAGAACATTAAAAGGCAACGTTATGAGATTATAATAAATTTTAATGTTAATATTTTATATCTTTAAAATGGTTAATATTAGCATGACGTGCCTAGATACGCAAACTGAAGCTAAAGATAAACATTTATCCAAACCGAGAGCTGAATAAAAAGGCTTTCCCTCAAGAACCGACGGCTTGGTGTTCAGTGTGATCCGTTACCCGCGGCGTAGCTGACAGGCTCTGCACAATGAAGACGACCGGACTCGGAGCGGACTTGATGGCGCTGACCGCCTCCTCGTGACTGGCTGTTCGCAGGTCCACACCCGACACCTGAGGGGTGCACACAGTTTACCAGACAGGTTCTGTTAGACTGAGGAACCCTCAGAGCTTCCATACGGAGAACCAGCGGCCCACCTCTAGGATCTTGTCTCCAGTCTTCAGGCAGTGAGATTTAGCAGCAGGGCTGTTTGGAAGAACCTGTTTGATGAAGATTCCCTTCAGTTCCTCTCCGTTCTTCAGGCGTTTGATGACGTGTCGACCTCCAACGATGCTCAGCCCCAGAGACTGGCCATCCTCTGGCCACACTTCCACCCTGTATGGGGGGGAGACATTTAAGTTTGAGGAATGTTTCAGGCTGAGTGGAGGACGTTCTTTGCGTGTCCTGATGATCCAACAAGAACATCTGTCTGGATCCTGAAGCAGAATGCCAGATCCTGCCGCTAAATAATGCCGCTAGATAATCATTGGTTCTGAAGTTAGCTCCATTGCTCTTAAACAGGTAACAGGATGGAGCACAGGATATCCTTAGAACCTGGATCAGGAGGTTCTGGTCAGTGCATTCCTCTGTAGGTGAATTTACCTGCGGGGGGGTCCCCAGTGACTGAAGGCAGGGGTCTCCTCTCCCTCTCCTGCTTCTCTTTCAGGCAGATCACTGTGAAAACAAGCTCAGGTGTTAATCCACGGAGGCTTCCTGTTCGCCTGGACTCACCCAATCAGCGGCTGCCTTACCTGTGTCCCCATCGCTGGCTCCGCCTCTTCCTCCTCCCAGAGTTCACCATCTTTGCAGACCTGAACAGGACAGAAACTTATCAAGTTCTGTTTTTTATTGGAGGTATTTCCTGAGCAATCTGTGTAACTAGAGAGCAACTGTGGATCAGAACCGGTTGGTCCAGATTAGACTTCAGAAGCTGAGGGACTGATATTTGAGTCTGTACATTAGGATGGTTCCTTAAATTGAATGGTTCACATGAAACCAGCTGAGAAAGGACTAATCAATAATGACCCAGCAGGCTGCTGTTAGCTGGTCTGACCTGGAGGGGGAGACAAAGGCCAGATAATCAGCCAGAGAATCTGGACCATCTGATAGGAATGAAATTAATCCAGACTGCACCTTTTATTAAGATTTATCAGATGTTTGTTTTTTCCTCAGATTCAAAACTGATTTCTGAAACGTATCTCAATCATCATCATTTCACATTAAATTCCCCCAGATATTCAGCTCCTCAGCTCATCGCCTGTCCTCTTCACAGTTGGACTCTGTCGTGGACTCAGCTGCATTAAGGTTGAACACGATGTCCAGCTCCTTGTATTCTGACTCTAAACCGAGTTACTTCATTTGAAGATGTACAGATATGCTGCCAATAAACATTAAACATTAGATAATTAGTGATGATTTGATGTAATCTGGAACTGATATAACAATGGTTTGGGGATCTGAGGAGGATTAAAACTGAACATAATCTGATGACACTGATCAAGTTGTGATAAACTGCTGCAAATCTGATACTAATTACATGATAATAGGACAGAAGTTTTTGGAATTTTTAATCAGAGTAATAAAATGTATGCTGTGGTATCCTGGTGATGACTCTTTTCTAGAAGGAGTAAGTTGGTTATATCAGAGAACACTCCTCTGCTACCCTATGTATGCTGACGTCACAGCTTTATATCTCGGTGTCACATGAGCCGAGTCCAGAGCACTGACTGGGTCGGGGGTCCATGAGGTATTTTGGGAGGGTCCCAGAAGTGTGACGATGGATGGATTGTCAGACTAAAGGGGCTAAGGGGCTACCCAGAGATTAGCTCAGAAGTTGGATCTTAGTGGTTCTGATGGCCTGGGGGTAGGAATGGACTGTTCTGTGACATGGACACATAGTGGTGGTACTGACTCGGTGTCGGTGTCCGTTAGAGTGAGGTCCGAGTCCACTTCTCCTTCTCTGGAGTCTGGAAGGCCTGAAGACACATGAACGGATTTCAGAGCGCTTCCTACAGGCGGAACACAGATTTTAAAGTTGGACTCTTTACTCACCCAGGATCAGTCTACCAACAGATGAGATGCTCTCATGGTCTGACTTCTGCAACTCCTCCTCATCCTGTGACGCTCTCCTCCATGTCTGGAGCTGATTTTAGAAACACAGCAGGATTTGCAGAAATCTTCCTCAGGTGAGAAACGTCTCAGCAGAAGCTAAAACATGAGAACTGAACCAACCTCCTCAAAACCTCCTGCTCTGCCGGCAGAGGATGACAGCTGCCACTCCTCAAAGGACGGAGGAGGCATCCTGTGCAGGGAGTTCATCACATCCTCAGCCTCCACCTCCTCCTCATCTACAGCCATCTCTGTGCCCTCCTCCACAGGCTGGAGGTCAGAGGTCAGAGAGGAGGTGTAGCGAGGCAGACCTCCATCCAGAATCAGCTCCTCTTCCTCCTCCTCCTCGTCTTCCTCCTTAGGATATTCTGGAAGCACGGAGCGATTGCTCAATTCCTGAAATCAGACAGGAGAGCTGTTGAAGTGAGGAAGAGCCAACAGGTTCTAACCCTTGTGATGTAATGAATGCTGCCAACCAATCAGGCCAAAGGACCAGATTCAAACAGCTTCTATCATTAAAGGGACAAATATCCACAAAACATCCAGGAAGATGGACAGGCTATAGGTCCATCCAAGTTCTGGCTAAATAACGAGATGTTTAGCATTTGTGTGGTCTAGTCAAAGTCAAAGTTTTATTTGGTTCAAACATGGAGGCCTGTGGAAGGTCATATAAACTTAAAGGAGAATGGGTCCACATTGACTTGGTACCAGTTACTGGGTTTAGGGGATTAATACTTTTTCACCAGAACCAGGTTATTCTGGAGAAACATTCCTTCTTATATTAATGCCGGTTCTCTTTGATAAAAAAAAAAACCTATGCTGCATTTCAAACAAGGAAGGAAAAAAAATCAAAACCAGTAGAAAAAAACTTCACAGCAGCTCTGGAGCCGACTGTGAACAGAGGGAAGTTCTGGTTCTAGACTTGCTTCTGGTTCTGCTCCGTTTTCCAGCCTGACCAACTGCAGATGAGTTGGTAGGATCAGAAATGACGGATTCTGGGCGACTGAAGCGCAGTCAGGCTGATGGGAGGAGATGGTTCTAGATGTTCTGCTGAGTGAACGTGAGACTGAGAAAGTTCTGCTGAACTTCTCCCAGACTAAAACTTTTAACATTAGCTTTGATCTCTGAGCACATAAAGGTTTCCTCCATCTCCCCAAAGAGCCTCCCTCAGCACATACTGAGGGGATATCCTGCTCTTTACATTACCATGCAGACATTAGCGCGCACAGGGAAATATTAATGACAACACTTAGGCTAATTTCCACAGAGCGAGCCTCGTCTTCAAGGACTCTGCTGCTCGGCTTTTAATTTGGGCCCGGGAAGCCGGCCCATCCGGCGCTGTAATGGAGGTGAGGAGCAGACGGCGGCCGCAGCACACAGCTCATAACGCTAACAGCTCGCCCTGCAGACTGATGATTGTTGGCCGTGACTGCCTGGCCTCATATTCTGAAGATTTAAAGACGCTGCTGTTTAATATCCCCCCCATTAGACGATGAGGACGGCAGAGATGATGACGAGCTGTCCTGGAACCGGTCCGTTCTCGCTTTACAGCATGCAGGCCAGGATAGGGGAACGTGACGCTAACGCCGCAGAGACGGAGTGGGCCGATGCTGAGGTGTTTTAGTGGTTCCTTCAGAGGTCAGGATCATTAGAACGGTTCAATTCAAGTGCCATTTAGCTGCTGACAGAGAGCAGAGCGGGTCAGAACAGCGGCTCTGCTCCCTCCGTCAGACCAAAAACCCACAGACCCTGTCTGGGTTCTGGAGTACCCGGAGAGAACTCATGTTTGCAGAGAAAACATGCTCCATGCAGAAACCTCTTGATGCTGAGCATTATTCCTACCAACTGTTCCACCAACTATTCCCTATGCTAAGTTCTATGAAACCTAGTTGGTACCTTGTTAGAACATTTGTGGAACCCAACTAGTACCATTTTATAGCATTCATGAAAGCTAGCTAGCACTTTGTGGGAACCTTTGTAGGACCTATTGGGTTCTTTGTAAGAAGCTTTTAAGAACTTAAGAGCCATTTTTTTTAGAATATTTGTGGAACCCAACCGGTACCATTTTAAAACCACTGGGAATTGTACTGGTACTATTTCTGAGCATTTGTGGAACCAAGCTGGTACTTATTAAATATTTCTGAAATCTAACCTTTATAGAAATAAACTGGTTCCTTCCAAAAATATTCCCAGTGAATCGCATAAGATCTATGAAAGTAGTTAGTAGCTAGTTCCCACCTAGGTACCTAGTAGGTCCTTGTCAAAAATTAATAAATAAAATGAAATTGTCTAGAGAGCTGTTCTAAACTAAATTTCATCTTGTTTACACTTCTGTATATAAAATGACTTAATAAATCTGTCTAAGTGTAAGGTTCTAGTAGGTCTCAGTAATCTGATTACCCAGTCTGCCTGCTTCTGCTGCTTGGAGTAATTTGATTACTGAGTATACCTGGTTCTGCTGCTTCGCTTAATCAGATTACCAAGTCCACCTGCTTCTGCTGCTTGGAGTAATCAGATTACCGAGTCCAACTACTTCTTCTGCTGAGAGTAATCAGATTACCAACTGGCTGCTACTGCTGCTCAGAGTAATCTGATTACTGCAGCAGGAAGCTGTTTGCTCCCATAAAGCTTCAGGGTTTAATCAGGCGCCTCCCTCATGTGACCTCGAAGAGTTAACGAGGTGTGGCTTCCTAACGGGGTCTCTCTCTGGTCAGCGTGACAGAACGATCCTGCAGGGACGTGACAGAACCGACCCGGAGATCTTTATGACGAGCCATCAGGGAGCCCTGAGCTGTGAAAGAGGCTCTTCTGTTAAATGAGCTGCATGTAAAACAGGAAATAAAAGATCAGCACAGAGGCTGACGGCAGCAGGAGGACAAAGAGGAATGAGAGGCCGACAGGGACCAGAACACTGAAAGGTTCTGGCCCCATCCGGATCAGCACTTTGTGTTCTGAGCAGTTAGACTATCTTTGTGCAAAAAAAAATAAATAAATATAGATAGATATTTTTTTTAGATCTCTAATAATTTCTGTCTGTCATATTTAATCTTCTAAGATTCCTGAATGATGCCACAAACCTGGGTTTGGACTCGGAGCCATCATAGGCTGACTTGGTGACACTCGGACCAGGACATATATTAGCCCTACAAATGGGGGGAGTGGCAGTGAAGCGCAGTAAGTGGGCGTGGCCCGCAGCAGGTGGTTGCCCCGTCTGCTCATCTTATGGACATGCTGAGCAGTAAGCTTCCGAGTCACAAAGCAGAAACAATCAAAACACCGTCTCAAGGGTTCTGGACACGAGACAGAACCTGGACAGGTGGATCATCCATCACAATACAATGCAGACAGACAGGGCATGAAATGGTCCATAAAACCATGTGTAAGGGTCAACAGGAGTGTCCTCTGAACCCAGAGTACCCAGAGATGACTCCCCCCATGAACGGAGAGAAACAAAGTTCTGTTCAGACTCTGGAGGTTCAGGCTGACCTTTGCTAGCGTCGCCAAAACCTCTACTCAACCGGAGCAGAAAGTCTCCAGACCCAATGCTTTGGACCTCCTGGTTCAGGATCTTGTCTGGAGCATTTAAGGTCAGTGTCAGCGCCGCCTCCTGGTGAAGCCAATGTACTACAGGGCCTCTAGGCAGACGGTGTTTTGGAAGTGTTTAGAAGAATGTTCCTGATTCTGGGTGGAAGTGCTATGCTGATAGGGCGTCAGAAGGAAGCCAAAGGCGGCATGAAGAACTCCATGACCCTCCACCTGCTGCCACCGGAGGATGAAGTCTAGTCGGCCTTTCCTTGGTGCCGTTTGCTTTATTAATCAGGAGCTAAGAGGAAGAAGAAGACGACAACCACTTTTCAGTGGCACTGATCTAAATTTTGATCTGGTTTAAAGGACTTCCCTGCAGGCCATTTGATCGCCATCATCAGAACAACACAGAACCAGATCCGATTAGCAGTTCTGATTCATCTTTTTTTATTAGTGATCCAACATGATGAACAGATAAATGTTCAACCTGCAGCAGCAGAGGCATTACATCTGTACTGCAGTAATACTGAGTACTGCAGGAGGGGGGCATGTCCTCACAGCAACCCCCCCACTCCCCTCCTCCCTCCGGCTGCCTCACTTAAAGAAAGATGCTGCCGGTTGAGCTGATGGAGCACTTTATAGCATCGAGCCATGGAGCTGAGTCAGCAGGGGAGGGAGAGGGAAGGTGAAAGAGAGGAGAAGATGAAAGCGAGAAGGGGGGGTGAGGATGATGAAGTGAAGGGAAGCAGGACGACAGTTAGAACAAAGACGAAGCTCTCAGAGTGATTACTGAAGGCTTCAGGTGAGCAGCAGGGTTTCTGCAGCAGCCCAGCCGGTCAGAGTTTCATTGATGCAGCTGATTTTAGAAACAATTGGAAATAAAACAAATGTTCCCAGAAACGATTTTAAGAATTTATCTTATTTTCTCTCAGTCATTAAACCAACTGATTATTGTCCCTTTGAGAGACCCATCTGGGCCAGAACTCTGGCCTACCGCCTAATGGCCTGAGATGTTGCTTCAACACATCCTGCTTTGATGTTGAGCACAGCAGCTCCCCCACCATGACGCTGCCACCACCGTGCCTCGGAGCTAGGAGAAGTTCCACCTGAAGCCGCTCCGGCAGAAGAGAACCTTAATTTAACGAATGTGAACACGGATCGGATCTTTTGATCCAGTCTGAGGAGGAGCTGTAGGTCAGGTTTGTAGGAAACGATATGCTCAGGTGGGAGCATCATGGTGCGGTCTGTTAGGTACCGGCAAACTGACCAACATCTGCTGTGAATTCACATGAAAGGTCCGCTCAGATGAGCTTCTGTTCCTTCCTGTGACTCGGATTTCAAATCTGACTGCAGGATAAAACTTGTTCTGATCTGATCTCTGCATCGGCGCCTCCTAATCCAGCCGGACCTCAACACTGTTGTATTTCACGGCCCTAAGATGAATATTAAGAAGCATGAACAACTGAACATTGTTTGAGGGGCTTCATGGGGTTCCTCACACACCTAAACGTTTACCCTGACTTTCCAGGTCACAGAGAGGAGAAAATATTCCTGTTGGTAAGAGAGCAGGTTCTTCCAACACTGATCAAATGTTGAGTACTGCTGCTTTAAAGAACCAGATAAAAGTAGGAGCCATCTGTACCGCTCTGCCTCTCATGAACACTGGATGTACCTCAACTTTCTCAGAGTCATGCTAGCTAAACAGATGGTTTTTTGAGTGCCTTTTATTAGGTTATGACAACCCTTATTTAAATAGGTGTTCAAACAATAAAATGTCTTTAAGAAAACGGTGCTTACCTCTGGAACCAGCCCAGCTTCAGGAGACACCAGAATTTTCTTCTCCTTGTTCGTCTCTGCTTGTTCCTACAGAAACAGGAAATGGATCAAGAGAAGAAGCTGGAAGACAGCAGCTCAGGTTCTGCCAGAACCAGAGGGACTCTGTGTTCACAAAGTTCAGAATCAGAATCAGAATCAGAATCAGAATCGGGTTTATTGCCATTGTTAGTGAAGAGGTTCACAACTAGGAAATTTTTGTGGTACAGTCGTGCAACATGAAACATATATGAAATAGTAAATAAAATTATAAAAATCTCTAAAAACACTAGGGTATAAGGCATGCAAAAAATATACTAATATATACACTTAAGATAAAAATATGGAACTGAAACAGAATCTAAGCCGGAAAAAGACCGGCTCTACTATTCCAAACCTCTGAGCAGAAAAGGGCTGAGAGGAACCAATAAACCCACAATTATGATGAGGTGCAGAACTAGTCTCCTTGGAACCAGAACTTTCAAGCAGAAGTACTAGAACTTCCGTACGGGTTTAATCCTGTTCTAGAACTAAAACAGTGTTCAGTCCAGATGTGCAGTCGGATCTCATCAACCAGGAACAAACCGGAGAAACAAATCAGAACTTACCAGATGCAGAGAATCCGATACCAAAACAAACCTGCTAAGATCTGGACCTTCACCAGTCGGATTTAGATCTGTTAAAAGGTCTTTCTAGGACCAACAATAGTTGGCCCAGTATATCAGCCCAGATCCGCACAGAAAAGATCTTAGTCTTCAATAGTTCTAAAGTTTACAGACTCAATCGGACCAGCACCTTTTAGAGAAGAATGTTTGAACTCACCACCAGTGGTTTGCGGATCCCTAGACGGACAGTACCAGGCGGTACTGCCTTCAGGACCTCCACTGCCTGCGTTAGGGTGAAAGGGTCCAACTGGGTTTGGTTAACTGATACCAGCTGGTCTCCAGGAAGTAAACCGCCATGACGCTCTGCTGATCCCCCAGGAACCAGGGAACGGATCACCATCACGCACCGACCAGGGTCCAACGGGTCCTGAAGAGGCAGACATGACATGGCTATTCATTCTGTTCCAGCTGCAAAGGAAAGTTCTGATCCTTTTGATTAGAGATCCAAAAAGACCTCTAAAGATCGACTCAACTGCACCCTGTGACCGGACTCACCCTGGAGACGACAGAGACCCAGAGCAGACCTGGAATACTGTGGTTCTGTTCCTGTGAGTTCTGTTTCAGAAGCTACAGTGAGTGTGATGATGATGCAGGGTACCCGCAGACAAGTAGAAGGCGGGGACCCATCAACCAGACTCCGCAGCAACACTCAGGTGTTGTCTGGCGGCACCACTCTCAGTTGTCCAGTCAGAACCCTGGATAGTTGGATTAAAATGGTTCCAATCGTAACCAGACGGAACAAGAAAGTGATGCTGCTGATTGTTCTATGGACCGGGTCGGACCAGACCCGTGGGGATTACAGGTCCCAGGAGTTCTCCCGTTCCATCTAGATCCACCTCCTCTGAACTCCAAAACTTCCTGATATCAGGGACATCTCCAGAACCAAACCATCCCTCTGTGACTCTGCAGCTGAAACTCTTCTTTCCACATCTGGAATGACTCAACCCTGAACATCAACAGAACCTCCCCTCCAGCGGATTTGTCTTTCCTTTGGGTCTGATTTGAATCAGGCATTTATGAGGAACCCTCTGGGGTCCTCTGAATGACATCCTGGATCAGCCTGAGGTCAGTCAGAGTGGGATGGATGCTCAGACGCTCCTGATGAGAAAAACATCCCCCCAATCAGCCACTGAGGAGTTTCCACCCGCCGTTCCGATCCGTTTTATTGAACAGTCTATGTTCTATACTGAGGGTTGCTGTCAAGGTCCAACATCTGGTTCTATTTGACCCGTTTCCCACAGAACCCAGACAGAAAAAGCCTAACATGTTTCTCACCAATCTCTCCAGCATCTCCCTGAACTCCCCAGCTTTTATTCAATGAATTTCTCACTTTCTGCTGAGATGTTTATTTTTTTTTTGTTAACATAACATCCAGAGACTTTCTGTGAACCGTCTCTGACCACACCTGAACCAGAACCTGCTGGACCTGACCTGCCAGAACCCGAGCCCCCTCAGAGACCCGGACGGTAGCGGCATTAAAAAGCGCTGCTCTGTGAATTCCCTGCTGCGGGAACCCGGAGCATCGCCTTAGCGGAACGAGCTGCTGCTGTGCCAAGTTTCAGGCTGCCAGAACAAAGCCCAGCTGTATTTTTAGACGGAGCTGCATGGCTACAGGTGGTGAGGAGTCAGAACTCGGGTCCTCCACTCCTACGGGATCCTCAGGAAAAACAAAGGCCTCACACAGGCAGAGGAGCGGAGGAATCAGAAAAACGTAGGAGAAGAAAAGTCAAAATGTTCTCTGCCAAAAGAAGGAAGATGCTGCTTTTTAACGGCGGGTTGAAATGGATCAGAGAGAGGTTGGTGCTGAAGACCACTGAGATGCTTCAGCTTCACATTCAGAAGCTCCTACTGAACTTTCCGCATCTAAAGTTTCACTGAAGAAATTTTGAAGGAAAGCAAACAAACAGAGTTCTGAGGAGGAGTGGAGTGTGGATCCAGTACCTAAACAACGGCACAACACATGGGTTCATTGGCGACCAGCAGAACCCGTCAGGTCCAATCAGGAATCCAGCAGAGGATAACAGAGTCCAACAATCCTTTCATCTATCACAACATCAAATGGATCCAGTTCTCTTAAGGATCCAGAATTATTTCTATTAAACCTAAAAACATTCATCACTGTGGAGGGGCTCAGACTCGTTTTTCTTGGAAGAACGCTTAATTTAGACAAACAGATCATCTGAGTTTGATTGAAGTCCGTACTTTAATTATAAACCCTTTGCAGTCGGACCCAGCTGAAGGAAAACTGCTCATTTCATTTCAGCACAGAGGCTGGTTGAGCTAAACTATTAGAATCACTGTGGAATGATGCAGATTTCCTGATTTTAATGAGTGTAAATAAGGAGTGTACCTCCTTCTTTCCTCTTAAATATGAGGAAAAGACCATTAAGACCGTCATTGGCTCACTGAGGCAGATCAACACACTGCAGATATTTAATTAGGCCTGAGCAGCAACAGCGCTGAGAAGGCCTATTGTATCTTTATTTTTGCATTTGTAACCACTTTGTTTGATTTAAATATAAAACAAAACAAAAATACAAGAATTTAATTAACGATGCAACTAATTGACTCTAGAGGGCTGGAATAATTGACCAGGTCCAGGGCCACATCCTTCAGTATGACACACAACCATCATAACCATCCTCATCGTCATCCTTATCACCCTCCTCCTCATTTCTGGTTTCTCGTGGTTCTTGCAGCTCCTTCTCCTTTAGCTCAGTAGATTTTCTTTTAAATATTTGTTTTTTAGAACCTTCCAGTTTTCATGAGGTTCTCCTGGTTCTCCTCACAGAGTCTGAACTGTCTTCTGGTCTAAAGTCTATCAGGATGAAGTAGTTGGAGGAATACTGGTTCTGTGATTTGCAGCTGGTACCAACAGGTGTGGATGAGTTCTGGACCCTTAGTTTTGGTTGGGTCTAACAAGATAGAAGTTCTCATCATGGATTCCTGTTTTATTTTTAATTTTTTTTTTTAAAGAAAAAAAATCCCTGAAATGTTTGATTTTATTTTATTTTTTTGCTAAAAATAATCAAATAAAAAATCTAGTCAAAAGATTATTGTTGTTCCAAACCCTCAGACTTTATTTAGTGACAGAAATAAATCTGATTCTGGTTCTGATTCCTAAACACAAACAAGCTGACAAAAGGTTTCAGGTCGACTGTCTTCTAGTTTCATAGAAAAAAATATTCTGTTTTTCTTATGGGTCTCTGTGCCCCTTTAGATGGGTTCAATAAATGTGGACCGGGTCTGGTTCTGGGAATGCCTGAGGCTCTGTTAGAAGTGCCCCACCCCCCCTCACTTTCCAAAGGGCTCATAAAACATCCCATCATCTGTGACGGACAGGCCAGCCCTCAGAGACACGTTTCCTCCATCCTACATTCCACATGATGAAGATGCTGCTGACAGAAGGTCCATCCTCTTCTTCAAGTTCTCTCTTTCAGGGTTCTATGCAGCCAATCCTCTCGCTCCATCTAACCCCCCCCCCCCTGACTCCGCAGGTCAGTCATCAGTGGACAGAGCAGTTTGACCAAACCGAGTTAGAGGAAGGGTTCATTATCGTCGCCGCCTGCCTGCAGGGTTTTTATCTATGGTTTAAGTCTCTGTAAAGCTCAGTCTGTCCTCTGGTGACTGGTTCTTTAGACGGACAGAACCATAGAGTAGAGTTCTGGTCATGCATCATTTCAGCAGAATTGTTCAGAACAACTTTAAGGCCCGGTGGTGGAGCAGTGGTGATGTGGGCTTGTTTTGTGCTGTGGCTCACCTGATAGTCCAGGATGCTAAAGCCGAGGCCTTTGTCCTTCTGCTTCTGCAGCTCCACCACGTTCACCTCAGGAGACCAGAGAGCCAGCTCTCCATCGTCATCCTCTTCCTCATCCTCTTCCTCCTGGCTGAGGTCGCTCTCTTCAGTTTCCAACTGCAGCACTAAAGTAGAGACCTGCTCCTGACAGAAAGAAGAACCAGAACTAGAGCCTTGAACAGGTCTGGGCAGTCAGAGATCTTTGGGAGAAATCTGTCTGAAGCTGGGAGGTACCTTCCTGTCCTCCTCTTCCTCATCTTCCTCTTCTTCCTCCTCCTCCAGATGATGTTTGAATCCTTCTTCTCTCAGGAGCATCGCTGACAGTTTCATTTCCATCTGAAGAAAAAATACCAGGATTAACCTTCACTCCTTCTACTGGTTGTGGCTTCCTCTGACCCAGACTATCCCAGAACCCTCAAGGACAGTCTGGGTCAACATTTGATCAAAGGTTCTGTCAAAGTTCTACTGGGTCATTTGCTGCACGGCATCCATGTTTGTCCCCCAAAATATGAAAATCTACGACTAAGAGGTTCTATTAAAGCTCATGGACAGTTTGGGTCCTCTAAAGTTCAGGACAAAAGGGCCTGACCCGAAGTTTTGGAAAGAAATGTTCTGATCACACTAACAGAACCTGTATCAAATATCTGAATTTTCAAGAAAGAAACAAACAGATCTCAGAATCTCACCTCGTCAACGCTTCTGTGAGTGGGTTCTGCTGCTGGATAAGGTGGAGGTGGAGGTTCTGATTCTGGTTCCGGTTCCAGGTCGGAGATCAGGTGTCGGCAGCAGAC